TACTATCTGTGCAGATGGCTCAAAGATGGAAGGCGGTACGGGAGCAGGTATCTTCTCGAAAGATATGCAGATAAGACAGTGCTACCGAATCCCTGCTACTTACAGCGTCTTTCACGGCGAGATATATGCTAAAAGAGGTCAACATTAGACAAAAAAGTACAATTCGTCCTTCGAATCTACAAAAGCAATTGAATTTAAATTCCAAGATAGTATTAAAATGTCGCGGTTCACTGATGGGCATCCAACATCATAAGGTCTCTCTTTGTTGGGCATAGTACATTTCGAATATTTGTACATAGCAATATTGAAGGGAACGAACTAGCAGATGAGATGGCCAAAAGAGGTTCTGTACTGCATACAGGAGAGGCCGACCTCTCAATACATATACCGATATGTAAACTGTATAGGATAATAGAGGAAATCAATACGGTGACTAACAATTTATAAACTAACCGCGAAGACTGTAAGGTCGCTAGAATCTTATGGCCTAAGTTGGACAAAAATAAAACGAAAAGCATTTTAGGCTTCAACAAACCTGCAGTTCGTGTGCTTTCTGGAGTACTAAATGGGCACTGTGACATTGCGCCGATGCTCCAACGGTTGCGAGTTCTAACAAGTGGATTATGCAGGAGTTGCTAAGATGAAGAGGAGGTAAAATCTATCAACCACTTCCTGCATCTCTGTCAAGGACTTCAAACAAGGCTACTTTAACGTCTTAGGGATCCTTATTTTACTGGCGTGGAAGAGATAACGAAAGCAAACTTATCGGATCTCCTCAACTTCATCTGGAAAGCCAAATGGTTTAACAAGGATAACAAAGATTAGCAACTCGCATCTCCTGGTAAAATTTTTTGAGGGCATCCCAATGGGCAATATATGTCTCCGAGTAGAAGTGCTGACAACTGTTAGCACGTGCCTTCCGAACATAACCTAACCTAGTATGGGTTAAAATTTTCACACATATGCTCACCATAAAAATGTATATATCTCGTACAAATCATCCGAGTTATATGTAAATTGATCTCTCAAAATAAACATTTTTAGTAAGTACATGATTTTCGCCATCCATCGAGAATCTTAGATGGCACCTGGGCGCCACAGGAATCGTTCTGTCTGCGTTATCCCAATTTTGTTGAACTGTGACTAAAGATTCAGCTTCCATTTTGAGACAATTTCTTCATCGAATTTATTCCAATTAAAATCAATGAAATTTTTAGCCGCTCTTGCTTCGTTTGCTAAAAGGATACTAACTTCAGTCATACTCCCTGTACGACCATTTTCTCTTTACTTACGAAAAAATTCTTGTTTTGACTACATTTTCAATTCTACTTAAATGTCTATATAAATTATTAAGTAGAAATGTATTATTTTTATTTTTTATTTATGTTTCTTTCGTTTCTTGTAAACATTTGCGATTGCATTGTGCATGCCAGCTAAACGGTATGAAATAGAAAACAGAGCAACGTCGCTCAACTAATTATTGTGTTTTGCGCATAATTTTTAACCGATTTTGCTCATCAGTATCTTATTAAAAAGATATTTTAATTATCTATCAAATGAGTATATATTAATAACTGTTGCGACAAGTAACAAAGATAAAAAGTGACCTTGAATTGAAAAATTTCTGTTTTTTGTACTGAAAACCCAACTTTGCTCGAGTGGCGCAACGTCAGTTTTAATCCTATTGTTCCAAAACTTTGGGAATATCATTTTTAAGGCCAATGGCATATTCCTAGGGGGTGCGCTCATTCAAAACTTCATTTTTAATTTTCCCCCTTATAACGTGAGCCACCCTAATGTGAGAAAGACAAATTACTCAAGTTTTGCAATATTGAAATCATCGTATGATGTCCTAAATCGCACTGATTAGGTTGGTCTAGATATATAATAAAAATAAAAATAAAAGATCGTCCGTAATAGAAACTTCTAGGCTTTAAGTATGTACATATAAAACATATATATATCGTCCATGAATACAGTGGATTGATAGTAACAAAGCTGATTTATAAAAGTTTTAAATAAAAATAGCGTAAAGTCTTCACAAAGCCGAGAAAGCTTAAATAATGTAGTAAATAAATGTATCTATCTCAATTTACGCCTATAGCAGTAACGCTATGAGATAATGATATGACTAATGGTATTTATGTAAACTCCTTCCTTAATTGAAAATAAAAGATTTCCTAGTTTGGTGGGTTTAAGTGTTGACTTAAACCATAAGTCCAGTTAGCCCCTATTGTTCTAGAAGTCAAAAGCTAATAATTAACTGCAGTCAATATAGAGACATCCTTATTTCTTCAGATTTCACTTCCATTTGTGATGAGGTCAATGTTACCTATTTGGCTTGCACGTCACAAGTCATTTCCAACAAAAATCTTCTACTTGGAGTGTTAAACGCGAAAAAGAACATAGACAATATATTGGTAATGTTCGGAGATCCAATGGTTTTGTAGGTGTTGTAGACAATATCAATTTTCTCTGGAATGTCGCAACGCTTGTGATAGGAATTAAAAAATGATTAGTTGAATATTGATGCAAGAGAACCCTTTACAGGTATCAACAAAATAATCCAACTAGTTAGCGCAACATATACAGTAGGTTTCTGAAGATACTATGAAACCTAATTGAAAGTTACAAATAGCAGACCTTTCCAATGGTGGTCTTAAGAAATTAGTAAAGCAGAAAGAGTACGAAGAGGTGATATTTTTTGCTTATGAATTTCAGAAGAAAAGTGTATTTTATTCATTTATTTATAAAATAATTAAAAAAAAGAAAATTGATTAACTTTAAAGGGTTTTAATGAATTTTGATTCCACAATATTTTTTCAAAATTTCTACAATACACTCAAATATTTTTTTTAGCACAATGTTAGTCCTATGTATTTTCTGCTTTAGTTCTAGAGACTTTTTCATTTTAAAGTTGAAGACTTGATATAAATGATTTATACTGTTTAAAATATTAAGCTGCTCATATCAGATTGATTAACGTTTATCATACAATCGGATCACCATCTAAATACTTTAAATTTGGTAAACGCTTCTTCACTTCAGCTTTATATATTTCATCTGACAGGCTTTCCTCTAATGGATTGCCAAGAAATGACATGAACTCCAAAGGTGGCGCGGCCATAAGATCAAAGTTTGTCCAATCACTAACGAGATTATTTGCAACGTGGAATACTTTCAGAGCTTTCATTGTGTCAATTGGTTTCAGTTGTTCTATGTAATTATAGCTGACCGACAACTCTTCCAAAGTATATGCTAAGAATTCCTGTCACGGACATACAACAACATAATATATGGTCATAATTGGTCATATGGTAAATACAACAAAAAGTTTACTTACAATCCCATTAAGACTTCTGATTTTATTACGGGAAAGTTTCAGAATTTTTAAATTTGTAAGGCTATTGATACCCGTAATCCTATCAATCATATTGGTCGAGAGACTAAGTTTGCGACATTTGACTAATTCAGCCAAACTGGCGTCCATTCTTTCAATGGGCGGCCATTGAAATTGTAAGCCCATTTCAACAGCCTGCGCGGCAGGTATATTATTTTTTAATTCCCATGCAGTGATGGCTGTTTTCACCGATGTTGGCCTAAACATTTTAATTAGCAGGAAAGCTTAAATTTGTAATTTGTGCATCGATGAAAATTTTAAGAGCCTATAAAATTTTGTAATATTATCAAATATTTTTTTAATTAAATTGACATATTTCTCGTCTATGTTTTTAATGAAAAAATACTAAAAATTTCAAAGAGTTGAATACATTCTTCTTTAGTGCCTAATCAGAATTTTGTGCTAGTTTTTTTCCATCTTTTACTTTGTTTTCCTTTTCAAATTTTCCAAAATCACAAAAAGATAAATTTTTCCCTTATGCAAATTTACCACATCCGCTGTGGTAATACCGCAAAACCAAAGCCTCAATAAAGCCCGCAGAGTCGTCAACACGAATCCATTCACAGCATTTAATTATAAACGTCCGCCATGGTCATGTCGCATCAATCCTGTTCAGGATTTTTCATTTATTGCCGAAAACAAGGCAAATAAAATGGAACCAAACAACACGAATACCAAACTCAATGAAATTGAATCAAACTAAACTGAATTGAATTGAATTGCATGTCCTATCCTGGCGCCTGTCTAGCTCCGCAAATCGAGAGCACAGAGTTGCTGTGATGAACCAGCAAAGTCCGTGTGTAAAAATTTTGACAAAACATTTTATGGATTATTTTTGCCTTTTGAGATACTTTTTGCTAGTGAATGCTGAATGCAATTGTGAATAAAATAGTTTTCGCACAGATTTTTGTGTTATTCCAACACGATTTCAAGGATCACTGAAACCCTCTCAATTACTCATTTTAAAATGTGATTTAAATGGATTTTTCTTTTTTGAATAATTATTATATTTACATATATTACGACTATTAATAATATTTTCAATATACAAGATAATATTATTTAGTTTTTAAAGCAAATGTTCATATTGCTATATAAAATTCCATTATTAAACACCTTTGCAAAGCAAAACTAATTTAAATTAAAATAAATTTTAATATTTTACTTCAGTAACTGCAGTTTGGACTTTATAAGGCACGCATTTATGCGAATATTTCATTTTATTCATTAACGGAAGTTTGCAAAATATTTTCATTTCCGTTTCGCATGTGCAATGCAGAATTTTTGCACTCCACTTCCCGGGACATATATTCGCATTTGGTATTCCGCTTGCAGTGTTGCTATAATTCGCATGTAGAAATTCATTAAAAGCGCCTACCGTAAATTATGCGGGCGCAAAATATTCATCGCAGTAATTTTCAGCGCTGCTATTCTAAAAATGTCACGTATACGCCTAGGCAACCCCATTTATAGCCACGCGTTACTGTATATGGTTTCCAGTTAAATTCGTTCACATAAGCCGATTCGAGTTTATTTGAGTTTCACAGGCAGTTTAATTAGAACTATCGATCGACGGCCTCTGATTTGTAGTTTAAGCTTCAAAACATTTTTCTAGTTGCCATCGTAAACAAACTAATTCTTCCACCAACTTTGAATGGAACTAGCAAATTAATTAATAAAATATTAAACAATTTTGTGTTAAAGAAAGTTGATGTTTAAGAAAATGTTATGTTAAATATTTTCCGAGTTAGTGAATCTGTGCACTTTTACTCTGTGATAGCTGGGGGAATTCTGCAGAGTCCCGCACATCTCACTGACTAATATATGTATTCCTCAAAAGCTACATAATTATTCGATGATTGATTTAAGATCTGCGTACCCCCGTGTAGCTAGAGATTATTCTAAAATTACTTACTGCTAAGTAGGGCAGCCTGTCGATTTTCGCGTATAGCTTCAGGGCTCTGTCCCTTATGTATTTTTTGACCGGATCTATTCTAAGGTCTCTTAGCATGTCATTCGTGTGGATATACCATGTGTTTCACAGATAACGAAATCACAGGAGTATTTATTTTAAAACTGTTCTCCAGAGATTCTTACAAGTCACAACCGTAAATGCCTGTATTCTTTTTAAACCTTTAAAAAACTTTACAACTCTGTTCATTAAAGTTATTGATTCAGTCATTGAAACTAATTTCAGCACAGAGTAAGTTCACTTATAAATATTGTTAGTCTTTTATGAATATTAAAATGCAAACGTCTTAAATGCAGTTTTAAAATGCAGTTATTATAATTTAATTCCAATCAATTACCAAGCAAAAACCTCATATTGCTCATGCTCTCTCTCTCTCCCTTTTTCTTGTTTTGTCTCTTTCTCATCCACTCCCTGCTCCTCACAATCACAATCTTACTTTATTTCTCTCTCTCTCTCTCTCTCTGTCTCTCTCTCTCTATTTGAAATTTTATAATTCATTTAGGAAACAAACAAACTCCATTTCTTTCATTTTATTTCACTCTTAGGTTTTAGGAATAATGAACCGTAGAGGCAGTACTATAGTTATCCTTTCCTCAAATTTGAAACTTTTAATCTCTTTCACTTTTAGGTTTTCAGCACAATGATCCACGGAGTTGGTAGAATGGTATAATCCTTTTCTCAAATCCAAAAGTACTCGCTTCAGTCACACATGCCCTCAGTGCTAAACTTATAACTAATAAATATAAATATTATAGACAACAAAATAAATAACAGCTAAAGTACTAAGCGGATGCAGTAAAAACAAAAAAGAAAAGAACAAACAACAAAGACGAAACTAACAGCAATGAAAAAATGGATAAATTTTGCAAAATAAAATGAAACGAGAAAAAACTGCTAGTTAGGAGCACTAAAAAAGTACAAGAAAAATTCTTTAGTTAGACATTCCTACGGGAAGTTTTCAATTCATATTTTTTTCTTCCTTTTAGTAATTTCAACATAGCTGTTCGATTATTCAACATAGCCACCTAGGCATCGATCGTTCAGAATACATTCCCATTCTAAATGGAATACAATATTAAAAGTAAAACGTCGTTTGTCATATATGTCATCAATAAGTAAATAAAAACAATGTGTTAAATAACCTTAAGTAAATTTATTAATGCCGTAAAATACGTTAATTCTATACACAAGCTAAATGTAACTATTTTTTTTCAACTGATCACCATCTAAATATTTTAGGTTTGGTAATCGTTTTCTCACCTCCATTTTATATACGAGTCCATCATCAGCAAACCTTTCCTGCAATGGATTGCCAAGAAACGACAAAGACTCCAATTTTATTGTGGCCATCAGGTTAAAGTCTACCCAATCTTTAACGAGATTATTTGATACGTTAAATACTTTCAAAGCTTTCATTGTGTCAATTGGATGCAGTTTTTCAATATAATTGTAGCTGACAATCAATTCTTCCAAAGTATTTTCCAAGACTTCCTGCGGCGTATATACAATAAAATAATATATGGTCAGTAAAGATCTTAGTTTTAAATCTAAGAAAATTAAAAAAAAATTTTTAGTTACAATTCCAATTAGGGTTCCGATTTTATTACGAGAGAGCTCTAGAACTTTTAAGTTCTTAAGGGTACCGAGACCCGAAATTCTATCAATCAAATTGGTTGAGAGACTTAGCTTGCGACATTCGACTAATCGAGCCAAACTAGAGTCCATTTTTTCAATGGGCGGCCATTGAAATTGTAAACCGACTTCATGAGCCTCCGAGGCTGGTATACTATTTTTTAGTTGCCATAATGAGATAGCTTCCTTAATAGATGTCGGCTTAAACATTTTTAAATACAAGAAAACTTAAAATTTTATTCTTTCCATTGCAATGAAATTTACATATTAATCGTTAAAAAATATAAAAATTTTTTTTTTTAATTAGTTTGACATTTTTCATGATTTTATTTTAGAAGAAAAATTAATAAACATTTTAAGACAAGTCATTTTCACTTTCCAATCTGAGTTTTGCAATAGTTTTCACTGTTATAGTTAATTAATAATAAATAAATAATAAATTTTTAATGTTAACTATAGAATAATTTTTTCTCTTCTGTAAGTTCACCATAACACCAATGCCTCATTCATCACCTTCGCTTGAGACATGTATTACGTTATTCCCTTTAACTCATTAAATATTTGAACTAATTATTCATAATGATAGATATCATATCTTATTTATTAAAATTATGACAGGGCATTGAAAACTTACTCCTTCTCTGCAGTTTTAGTTGGGAAGAGAATGAGACTTTAAACTATGTGCCCATAGTTAGCTAGGCATTAATACATATAGAAGAAGTACCTAGATATGGAACTTATATCTAATAAAAATATAAGGGTAAAGTATGTTTAATACTACAATTTATTGTAAGAATCGGATTTGAAGAAATTTTCTTAATCCGTGAAAGGGGGATTAATAAATATCTAGATATATCTAATAGATATTTATAATAAGAATAATATTATTATTCTTATTATATTTGCATTCAATTATTAAAATAGTTTCAGTTTTTAAATTTAAATTAAAATTCATTAAGAATTTTCAAAACATTTTAAAAACTAAATTAATTTTAAAGTTTTACCTTTCCCCTTATCCCCAAAAGATTGAGTAGTTGCTAATGACAATCAACGCCGCATAATCGTTTACATTATTTTTAAGTCACTTAAGAGTAGCAAACAAAACAACAAATATATTCCAATGGTTAGGAGTAGGAGTGGAAGGGGACACCCTGGCAATAAATCTAAAACAATGAACTTCTTCAACTTCAGTTCGCGGTGCGTAAATATTTGCTGAAGGAAAACACAAGACTGAAAAATGCGAAAACCTTTTTCATATGGAAAAATTCTGAAACGTGTGGATTTCTTTCACTGCACTGTATTGAGTAACATGGATGGAGTTTTCTAAAGTTTTCCGAGTTTTCCTTAGCATTGTTGCTATCAGGGAGGACATGTGTAAGCCGATGTGTAGAAATGATTAACGTTTTGTTTGCTCGGATAAAAGCGTTTAATTGCAAACAATTGAAAAGAAGGCGTCGGCAACACTTGAAATTGACAAAAGAATCCTTCGTAAAAGAGTTGCAAGTTAATTAAATCGCACGCCGGAACAGTTTTCCATAAAAGAAATTCTAGAAAATCGTATGTGATGAGGGGCAAGTAACTGTGGTGATGAAAATAATCAACACTTAAATGGAATAATGAGCTTACACAGCATTGAAATGTTATAAAAGCCACTCCAAAACTGTAAATGGAATAAAAAATCTAAAACGAAAAAAAAAACAAACTTACGAAATCAAAAAATCTCATAAATCTTCTCTCAACTTTTTCTTAAGGACTTTTTTTGCCTTCTTAAGTCGGTAGCAAGGAGCAAACAAATGACTTCACACAATGAGACTCAAGTTAATATTTGGGATTGCCGCATTATTTACAGACCTTCCTGTTGCGTTGTCTTTTGCCAAGGGTTTTTTCTTCTTGTTTGTTGTTTGTTTTTGTTTTTTTTTGTTGGTTAATGGAGCTTATTATGACATCCTTAAAAACGCAAAATGCTCCCCTTTTCAAGGAACTTTTCACTGACTTGATACTTGTGAGCGGCTGTTCATTTTTATGTCACCTCAGTTTTTGTTTTTCTTTATTTTGCCTTTTCAACGCCTCCGAAACATCCTTATTATCGGCTTCGGTATCCTGCGTTTTCCTTTTCCAAATTTTTTGTTATTATTATTACGTTTTATGGTTACTTCCATATCCTTTCGTAAATATTCTTATCATAATTTTTGAAAACTTTTACTTTTTAACCATAAAGGCGGCCAGCCAAAACAATCTTTTGGTGTTATTATATTAGGGACACTTTCTGTATTTTTCCTAGCAAATTTTTTGTGGGTGACTAGATTAATAAGTCAAAAACTGAATAAAAATGAATATATTAGCCTTATTTAAGATATTAGGTTTTCAAATATTGCGAAATTTGTAAGGATCTAAACGATCGTTTATCTTATCTCTTCGTATCCTGTGGTTGTCAAAAAATTGACCCTATACGTATAACTCACATTTTTTTAATCGGATGAGGTTTAGAGTCTAAAATTAAAGAATATACTTTTTGGTTTTATTTTTAGTTTTAGCTTAAGACACTTTCTATAGCAACATCAAAATTCATCTCAAGAAGAAAATAAAATTCAGTTTATATTTCTCAAAAGCTTCATGACTATTCGATCTAAGATCTGCCTACCGCCCCGTGCGGCTAGTGATTATTCTGGGCTTAGGTAGTGCTAAGTAGCGCTGCCTGTCGGTTTTTGCGAATATCTTCTGGGCTCTATCCAATATATTATTTTTTTATTCTAAGGTCTCTTAGCATGTCATTCGTGTGGATGTACCTTGGCACTATGAAGAGAGCCTGACTTTGAGCAACTTACAGCTTCTGGATAGCAGAGTTGACAGCTTTGCTATACGCGATACACCCATAGAGAAGTGCTGATCTGATTATCTCGCTGTAGATCAGCTTTCTGTTCTTCTCGCTAAGGTTATTGTATTTGAAAAGTAGTTGTAAGCAGTGCAGTGTTTTTGCAATGCTCTATTATTGTTGACTTTAAAATTCGAAAGCTTAGCACAGCAAATAAAAGGTTAGTTTAATTTAGCTGGTCGTAAGCTATTCGATACCATGTTTTTTGTATGCTACCGACATATTTCTAAATTTAAGTAATACTTAAAGTTTTATTTCTGAGGCATAACCATCAAGCATTTTCTATAAATTTTTTAAGGCGCATTTTCGGAGTCCAGACTTTAGTTGCTTTTAAGTCCTTAACCTGCACTCACGATATCTGGAGGTTCGAGGTCCGTAGTGTTATTATTTATGATATCGGCGCAAGTACATATCCACCTCATTTATCATATTTCTAACCTGTATCACAGCACACATATTGGTTAAAAGATGAGATCTTGTTGGTAGTACATTCAATCTGCTATACTAACTACAAGGTTATCCTCTGGACGATATAAGCGGTTTTGCACTATTACAAATGCGTATACACCAATAACATTGCTATCATGGTCCTCTCGTAAAATCAGTAAAGTAGCACAAAGGATATTTGCAGTGACATTTAGAGAAAGAAAACGTAAGGAAAGACAGTGTTTCCGATTAAGTTGAAGAAGCACTAATCGCGTTTGCGCTGCGATATCGTTGAAGCACACATACCGCAAAGACACCTGGATAGGAATCTTACATGAATTCGAAACCTTAAAACGGGTTGTGATGTGCAAACAAGTAAGAGAGTATGTGAGTAAGTTAAATCGCTTATGGGACTCTCCATCATTTAAGGAAATCGTTGGAACTAGTCATCAAACTTTAACTAGTATATTTTGTATTTTTGGTATTTAAAATATTCTCTGAAACGTTTTCTATTAAGAATATTTGGTTCCTATTGTACCGGGTGCTTGCATGACAAACTACTTTTCATTGAAACATTAGGTTTGAGTTATTGGCTTACCACGTCTATTAATAATGTGAAAATAACATATTTTCACCTCGTAAAAACGTGTTAATATCCTGTGAAACTATTAAAGCAAGTCAACAAATAAAATGCAAAATAAAATTTTACGATTATTAAGAAAAGTCACAAAAACACTAAATAATAAATAAAAAATAATAATAATAATTATTTAAGGAAATCCTTTATACAAAAGCAATTAGTAAAAGTTGTAAAAATATGAAATGTGATTCCTCCCTTCCCAATCTGTAGTAGTTACTTTGCATGTCGAGTGGATTTTAACACGCCTGCACTGGAGTAAACAAATAGACGGCACAGGACACCTTGTGACAAAATCCTTTAATGCTCTTGTTTGTGTTTCGATTTGTGTTTTGTCTATTGACAAATGATTTTGTTTACAATAGGCATGAAATAGATTTCATTTAACCCCCTACCCCCTTCTAACCCACCCACTTGCAAACAGTCGCAAATCATTTGAAAGGAAACATGTTAAACGAAATCCTATCGAAATCTCTTAAAATTTTATAGACCAAGACCAAGTGTCATAAATCAATTGAGTAATTTCTGTTTGCTTGTGTGTGTGTGTGATGTTTACTTATGCTCAGGACATACAATCATACATATGTGTATGTGTGTAAGGATATGTACAAGAATGTAAAGATATATGCTTTTGTTTGTATGTGTAACAAGGAAATCAAAGTCTTAACACAAATCATACATGTACTTATTTGTCAATTTATTTTGTACTTTCATATCCTTTACATTTACACTCACACTATCACACCTATGAGTTAAAGCTTTAAGGATTATGTATATTTGTTACTCTGTGTTCAATATCATTTGTAGCCTTACTTATATCAATATAAGCAAAAGTAACTTATGTCCTCGCGTGGAACAGAGTATCTCATATGGACATTAACTGTGCAGAATCCTGTAAGAAAAACTTTGGGGTGCCACATTTTGTCATACTTGCCACATGATTGGTTGCGTCGATATTTACGATTTGCTACTGATGATTTGCAATTAAATTAAATCCACTTTAAGGCAAATATTTGCCTGTTGTCATATATAATTTTTTTCCTTTAAACACACAAAAGTTTCATAAAACTCTAAAAGCTCTTAGGCAATTCGTAATCCTTTTGAGCCTGCCGAGTCAGCACTCAGCACCTTTTGCTCAGCACTCATATGCATATGAAAGTAAATACATATATGAGTACTTATGTAAACAGATATGTATCTAAGACTTTATATAAACAAAATTTCAATTATTATTAATATTTGTTTTTGGAAATCTGTATTGTTGTTGTTTTTGTTGTTGTTGATATTGTATTTTGTTATTTAATTTGTGTTTTTGCATTTTGGCCAGGAAAATGTCAACGCTCGCCACAAAGTGGATTTTGTTTAAGTTAATTTGATATCTTTTGGTTTTTATGGTTGCGGATTGGATCAAAATTGACCAATAAATATTGGTCAAAATTTTGTTATTGAGACTTAAAAATTTAACCATACAAATAAATTGTAAAGATATTTTTGAATTATTAGTTTCGATAGAGAGTAAGATATAATGCTTATTTAAAGAAGAGTTTTTTTAAAATAAAAATTAAAATTAATTAATTAGAATTAAAAATAAGTTATTTTATTATTAATAATAAATTAATGACAACTTAATGCAGCAGTTATAAGAGTTGTCTTCTTAGAACTTTCTTATTGGACATGACACCGTGTCATATATCCCTCTTTGATAGTTATTAATATGGTCTTTCTACTACAAGAATTCTACTACAAGAATTAATTTTTATAGAAATTTTGAAATAATTTATAATGATAATTTCTTTTAGTATATTGCAGAGTATTTATTTATATTTATAAACTATGATTAAACAATACATCGAACATGACAGTCCTACTTTTATAGTTATTACTACCGTTTATATTTTTTACAATAATTTTTCACAAAGATTTATCAATAATCCTAAAGATATTTTTAGAGAGGTTTTGAATAGTGATGAACTACAACAACAAATGTTTTTTTTATTTTAATTAATTGAACACAGACCATGGGCCTCACTTTTGGCAGGCTACTCTTAGTACTTCAACTCTTAGTACTTGCAGTCTCAATCACTGACTCTGAGCTTCAAATTTGGCAGGGTACGAGTTTAACCCTTGGTACTTGCAGTCTTAAAAAATTATTAAAGAATAATTAAATACAAGAAATAATTCCCAGACCACTGATCATAGGTATTTAGCAATACTCAAAACAGCTGTGTGGTCATTCCAAAATTCAATTAATCAAAATAATAAAAAAATTTTGTTGTTGTGGTTCACTACTATTTGCAACATCACTATTACATAAAATAATTTCTATTAAGTAAAATAATCACCGCTGTCATAACTAAAGTTAGAATGTTATCTAGCAGTCTTATGAGTACTCATTTTAAAAATCTATTATTTTAAAGGATTTTATAAACATGCTCATCCCTCTTTGAGAATTATTGCAACCTTATATTGTTTAAATGTTCTCAATAATTAGTCAATAACCCTATAGAAATTCTTATACCTCAGATGGATTTAAAGCTACACCTAGCACTTATGAAATCGGGATAAGCAAACCTCTTCATAAACATGGTTCATCATTTAATATGGCTTAGTAAAAATTTGTTGAAGTTTAAAACAAAATTTTCTTTGCTCAACGTTGAATTTTGTACCGACAAAAGTACAAAGATACTGTCAGTTCAGAGGGCTGATTTCAACATCGGTGAAGGATCTATCTGATATATGATTTAACTGAAAATAACTATTTTAAGAAAGATCTTTCATTTTGCACCATTCAATAATGAAATTATATTATTTTCTATGCATCCAGTATAAAGATTATTTATTATGGAAAGGTATTAAGTGGTTTTTAAATTAATTATTTCATTTTCTTATTTTATTAATTTACAATTTGTTTATTATTTTGAGTTCAAGATCGAATACTTTTTATAAAAATGAATTTTAAATAGAAATAAATGAAGTTAAGAGAGTTAAAAAAATTTATAATTCTTATTTGGTTTAATGAGTTCCTACTATATAAGCTTATAACAATCCAACAGTGACTGTAGTGTGATTTGATTTTAATATGTAGTTTTACTCTTTTGTTCGGAATACATTTCATCAAATCTTTGGTAGTTAACGGTTAGAATATATTATATGCAATGACCAGAGAATGTAAAAAGTATTCATAATACTTCTTTTTTTAATTAAATGTTGTTCTGTATGTACTTGTCAGAATCGCACGTCTTTATAACCTCTTGCAATTATCGAAGACGAAAGAAAATTCAATTCATATGCTTTTATGTCAAAAGACCCATTTAAAATGTAATTTGTAAATTCTAAATTTATAATGTGTATTTGCAAAAATGGAGATGTCACAACCTTCATATTTTTTTTTTTCAATTGTTTTTCCATTATACTCAATTTATCAAGGTTAAGACCGAGAATTGAACGATAGAACTCGTAGCACATATTGTATCAACGTCTATTCTAATAATAATATTCTTTCGTAACTGCAATTCATTATCATACACAGCAACGAAGATTGAGAACACTTTGCTAAAAAACTATAACTAGGATTAATCATTGATTTTTTAAATGGACATGCTTCTGTTAATTACCACCGTCGTAAGATGAGACTACAGAACATCGACATCAGCAGATTCTGTAGAACACAAACTGAAACATTGGTCCATTCTTCTTGCTTACACTATGCAAACTCTAGGAAATAAGTCCAGCGTCTCTATTCCATTTTCAAGTTTAATTCTCGGATTTTGTACTTGGAAGGCATTGTTGCGTTCGCGATTACACCAAATTTATCCGAGCTTACTCAGGAGACTCTCTCCAAGAAAAGGTTGTCGTGGGCTGCAATGTATCATTGTTCGTTCTAATAATAATAATCTTTCCTAACAACATTTTACGGTTCTGTAAAACAATTTCTGATATTTTAATGTCTTTTGGAGTAACAGAGTTCCTAAGCACTAGGAATCTGTTACTGCTAAGAAGTATAACTGATATTCTTGGACCAGTGAAATATATTTTAATTCAACAATTATTTTTCCACCAAGGTGTAGGCCAACCTTGGTAGTCGTGTCTGTTCAATGCTTTTGTGATACTATGAGCTGTTTCACAATGTGGATTATTTGTTGACTTATCATGTATTTAATTAATTAATCAGATACTTATTAAATCAATTATGAATTTCCCGTATTTTCAGTAGAATTGTATCTTACGAAGCCATGTACTGTGAAAGAACGGAATAGTATCGTAATATTTCTTGCACCGAAAAATATACCTCTTCATATTACTTAAAACTTGAACACCAACAATTAAAGAAAACCAAATTTAGTTGAACTAGAATTTTTATGTTATATAGATAACTTCAAAATGTTTGGATAAACGCTTTTAAGTTTCATAAAAAACTTTTTTTTTATTGCAGGGAAGAGTTTTACACTGACAATCACAGTTTCTACCAATCCGCCTCATATAGCCACCTACAATAAAGCGATTAAAGTAACCGTCGATGGACCACGTGAACCACGCTCCAAGACCAGTAAGTATGCAATTTATCTAATACATATAATCTTATATATACACACTCACACACACACAAACACATGCACCTACAACACACAGATATAAACTGCTTGAACAGTTTTTGGTCTTTGAATTGTAGAAACTCTAAATTAAAGCGGCTTGCATACGAGCACACCTATCCACCTTGTACTACCATACATACTTAAAATATCTTTCAACTACAGATACAAGTATGAAGTACTCACACTCTCTACTTCATAAACTTGCATAAACATGCAAATAAAAGATTTAATTTACATCCTTCAACCAACAAACTCGAATGCAGAACAATTCATTAGATTCCAGATAAAGCCTCAATGCTGCTTCCAAATGCTATAAATATCTAAATACAAATAATACGGGTATGCATGAGTCCGGGCTGAGGCAAGTAATAGTATTGTCTATTGTCCTTTTGCAGAATGTAGCACTAGCAATTCATCTTTAAGAATATTCATTAGGAAATTGTGCTTGCTTTGTCTTTACTATTGTTGGGCTACGTCCGTTTTGCTAAATATTCATAAGGATGCAAATATGTTGCTTTGCATATGTTAAGGCGTAGACAGCTTGTTAAAATGGCAACTTTTTAGTAATAGTTCAAATGCAGAATTAGACAAAGTTGGGAATGTGTAGTAGTTGCAACAGACATATATAGACAATTAGACAGTTGGACAGACGGACATACGCACAGACATACTCTAACACTTGTATTTGGGTTGTTGTAACGATTCAATCCACAAATGATTTATCTTCTGGTTTGGAATATTTAAGGGCAAAGTTAAGTTCAAATTTGAGCCAAGTTGAGCTGAGTAAAGTTTAGTTTAGTTTTAGTTTGTCTAAATAGTCGAAATGGTACGGTAGAGTAGACAGAGGGAGTTTACATTGTCAGACGAAAGGTTATTATTTTATAATGAATAATTTAGTATGTGTTAGTTTAGTCCAAAAACGGAGTAAAGTTTTTAGTTTGAATGACAGGAGAATTTAATGCTCTTCAAAACTATTAGTGATAAAAAAAAATAGAAAAAATCAAATATTTAAATACATATATATACTATATATAATATTTAAATGAAGTAAATATATATATATATTTTTTTAATTAAATGAGAAATCGGTTTTGTTTGGTGGTCAACTAAAAACAAAAACAATAGAAGATAGCATAGTTTTCATATTAAGAAAAAGCTGCTCGAATAATATGGAATCAGTATATGAGAAATGAAGTGAATACTATTGAGACAATAAATTTTTCTTCTCTTCTTTACTTGATGAAACGCGAGTTGGTGTCTTAAGCACTTTTACTTAATAGTTTCTGTGACCACTTGTATCTCTGATCCCTCTGACCAATAGTTCAGTGTATCATGGTATCAAATAGTGTTAACGGACAGAGTGGTTCAAGTCCCATACTGTACTTACAGTTTCTGTAGTCCTAAACAGTGGTCCTTAAATTATTTAAAATATTTAACATCGTTTGAATTGTATTTTATTTTACTCAATATATTTAAAAAAAAAACAATTAGATATATGGAAAACAATATTGTTATCTTTATTAAGAATATAAGCAGTCCACACACTCCACACAATACATCCTATATAGCATTTAACAAAACTCTAACCTCAAACTACTCAAAAAACTAATCCAAAATTTTTACAAAATCAAAAATTTATGAAAAAAACACTTCAACCTTAGATAAGGACAGAAATTTTATACATAAAATTTAGTGTTATCCCTTTTAGGACAGCAACAGCAATTCCACTTCGCCTTTGGCCAACGACCGTTTCATTTCTCGGCAGATCCGCTATCAGGATTTCGTATGCCGCCAATTGGAAACTGTCAAAGTAAGTAGTTTGAGCAATTAAATTTAAAAAAAAAATTATTTTTAAATGTTATTTAAAAAAAAAGAAAAATTTATATTTAATTATAACGCTCAATTAACATAAGCAATTTTATTTTATTAATTTGCTTAAACGATTTATGAGAAAAAATTATCAGTGACTAATAAATGTCGTTGTAAAAAAGTGGCAGCACAGCTACTGCAAAAAAAGCAGTTCATCCACCGCAAACCCAATAAAGCCACACAAAATCACACAAAACGATTAGTTCGGGTTTTAAAAATCCGGCTTTAACTTTGACCAAATACGTTGCGGTAACAGTTTTTTACCACCAAACTTTTTTCTCATTTCCAAAGTAAATTCAAACACAAATTTCAAAATAAAAACAAATTATTTAAACATAGTTTATGCCAAAAAAATGTCCTTAAATTTGATTTGTTATTGGAGCAAACGCGAAAAAAATTATCGAAAATCTGTAAAAGCACAAATCCCAAAATAAATTATTTTTAAACGTTCAATTTTTTATCGATGTAACGTTAAGCGTCGACAATAAATTCAATTAAGTTGAAAGTCCTTTCGTAATGTCCTCGCCACTCCACACAAACCTTCCCAACCTATTGATTTATATTTTTTAAGTTATAATTTAAAAACTATATTGACCATGGTTCTGTGGTAAAAACACTGGTCAATAGTTATTCACAGTAATAACAACTACAACAACACAACTATAGGTAGGCAGCCATTTTATTATTATAATTTTGGTTTTTTTTTTGTTGGATCAAATACTCAATGTTGTTATTGTTTTTGTTATTATTGGTCAGTTTTTTTAACGGCAACCCATTCGAGTTGGCCAGCAACGCAGAAAGTCAATGCGAAACTAAAAAATGTGTAAAATGCAAGCATAGTTTTAGGCTGATAAAAAAATTGCTTGCGCTTGGTTAACATGGTTTAAAACGGTAAAAATTAATAAACATATTAAATAATAAATTAGTTTGCGTATTTTGGTCGCATTCCATAAATTATAGAGAGAGGATTTGTTTCATGGAAAAAAATTGGGTCATTAAACACCACCATTGCTTTTTCATATATTTAAAATTAAAATTAAATTATAGCTTTTAAAAGTTATTTAATGTGATTGTAAAAAATTATTTATTTTAAATGTGAAATAATTTAATTTAATATATTTTAACAAATATACTTTAGCCAAAATTTAAAACGTAATTCAAATTGATTTCATCCAATAAAATTTTTTAATTACTAATATTATTCATTAACTACTCAAACATTAATTATTACATCAATAAAAAAATTACAATAAAAAAATTGTGATAAAAAAAATATTGGTATCATCTAATGCGAGGCCTGGCTCACTTAGTATTTAAGCAGCAGGCATTGTATGAGTTCAAAAAGTAATTTCCTAGCACACTTACTAAGATTGAGGGATTATATAGGTAGAGACGCCAACAATAGCTCCAGCCCAGTGTTTCAACAGTGATAATCACTCTTGTCAGCAGATGTTACATTATGACAAGAAGGCAATTCAGAAATAAAGATCTTCAAACAAAAATTACGCTCTGGAAGTCTTCTATCATGCCTTTCTTATTGTATGGTGCAGAAGCTCGGACAATACCAACAGTGATAAGAAGGCATTACGAGCATTCGGGAAAAGGTAGTAGACCAACTAGAAATATGCTTAATATGGTACCCGCTGGTGGAAAATACGGTAGGAACGTTCGCGTCGTCGGTTTAAGTATGACCAACGATTTGAAGGCACTCGGTAAATCAATTGGTGACAGCAAGCCACTGATAGGGTTGGCTGGCGAGAGTTACTGTACGCTGCCAGCGACGATACATATTTATAATTATATTTAATTGGATAGCTAAATTTAACCTATTTAATCTCTACTCTAACAAGGCGTATGGAGCATTATTACCTTAACCGGATGGTACAATGTGCCCTTGAGCTAAGTTCCGGGATATCACAATCAATGAAAACACTTGTACGGAAATTATTTGTTATATTCTTAATTAAGCATAAACGGTGTTCACAACACTGAGTGTGGTTCAAAAAAAATTTCAAATAGTGAGTTATATTTAATGTATATATCACAACCAGTACCATTTCCAGAGAACTTATATTTGAATATTATTTATATATATATTTTATCTCAATATATTACCTCAATATAATATTGAATGATATTACTATGATTGATATTGAGAATATACTGAAGGCATGACGATGACATACCGCTAGTTTTTGAATTTAATGTACGATTTGAGGTCTTAACTTATATACTGAAGGTATGACGACGACATACAACTAGTTTTTGAATTTAATGTGCGATTTGAGGTCTTGACACAGAATTGAAACTCTAGTTTTTGAACTTAATGAGCGGCGGATGATATTTTTATGCATTTTTCTGATGATAAACTTATTATGTAGAGTGGTGCAATCTGCTTTACATCATATTTGAGTTCTCCAATAAGATAGTTGAATAATTTAGGTCTTTCATAATGAAATTCTGAAAGATTTGAAGATTTTTATATTTTAGAAATCTTTTCCTAAACATTATGTTTTCCTCAGTATTTAATAAAATATATTTAAATTTAAAATAACATATTTATGTACAAAATATAGCAATTCAAAAGCAGTGCACAAATCATAAATAATTTTCAAAGTGATTTATTAACAAATTTTATATTGACAAACTGCACAACTTAATTACCGTCAGAAAGTGCAACCTCAATAAAGTTGCTGTCTGTAATTTAAGTACTAAAAATGTAAATATTTTATGAAATACGTTGTAAATTTTAAAATAATAATATAATAAAAGGACCAATAAAAACAAACATAAAAAACATTAAACAATTTATATAAAAATGCAGGATAAAGAGCAAATTGAACCTAAAACATAGCAACGCCATGGCGGCAAAATAGTGCTGCAATGGAGCATGTTCACGTATGCAAATGTTGAAGCCAATCGCATTAATAAAGCCACCACAAAATCAATATCCGCCATTTAAACAGCGCCGCGCCTATAAAAACTAATTAATAATTTTCGAATGGGCTATTAATTAAGCCTAATTATATGGCTTTGAAAAAGCGACAGACCGTGTACACCGAACAAATAAGCAGACCGTAGGACAGACAGCAGCCCTAACGTTGTAGGGGAAAGGCCAACGAGCTGCTCAACTGATATATAAAAAAAAAGACAGCAAATAAATTCTTGATGCTACATGCACCATATAAATTCAAATATAAAAAAGAAAATATTAAAGTGTAGCATAAAATAAACACACATACACACACATACACACACATGTTAATGTAAAACAAAAATTAACCTTTATTAGATCGTTTGCGAGTGTCAATTTAAACCTATCAACACCCCAATTCCCACTCCACGAATCTTCTCATCGATTGTAATGCAATTTTTATTATGAAGAGAAAAAATTTTAATAACAGCAACAACAACTACAACTACAGCAGCAAAAACAACAAAGACTGTCAACCAACCGTTACAATGATTTTTTGTTGGTTATTTTACAACAACTTTGCCAAGCCGAATAATGTCGAGTGTTGGCTGTCCACTGTTCACTGTTCACTGTTGAATGTCGAGTATGGAATACTGAATACTGCTAGACTATATCCAATCAGTAGCCAACCCGCATAATAGCCTCATTCATTTACACGCTGCTACGCCATGTGGGCATAATTAGCGTCCCACATTTATTTTCCATTGCACAAATAATGTTTTCCATTAAATGTTAGCGCAGCGCAGTTAACAGCGCTGCTACTGAGCGGCATTGCCATTCAATGCTGTAGTGGGTGTGGTGATATTTTTGTTTTTATTACTTACTTGTACTGCATTCGTTTGGCTGTGTGTGTTTTGTTAGTATTTTATTTAGATTCGGTTTTATTTAAACGCCATGTGTGTGTGTATGATTGCTGTTGTTGTATTTTAGTTTATTTTATGATTTTATAGTAAAACATGAGACAACAGTAGAAATATTCACTGCACACAAGGTAAAGTAATTTTGTCCGTCACAAAGTTAAACTTTGTATGTGTGTGGCAAAGAGTAATGCATTGCATTGTCATATAAATTTAACACATGTGTGCGGTGTATAAATATTCGAAATCAATTCTAAATATATAATAACGACTTTAGACTTTAAATTTAAAAATATATATATTACGAAGGAAGCAACTTAAGTAAATTTATGATAATTTTGATTTTTTTAAGCTTAATAATATATTTATATATTATATTTATATGTTATATATTTTAAAATAAAGTAATAAAATTATCGATAATAAATTATTATCCATCTCAATTTGCAATAAATTGGTTATTTTTGGTTATATATTTGGTTATATATATATAATTGGTTATATATATATTGTATACAAATGAAATTTTTCAAATACTCTGTACATAAAGCATACTGATATGGATACTTATATTCCCGCTTATACTCTGATAAAAGCTTTGATAGCAGAACTTCCTCAAGAGAAAATTTGGAGGAAGAGCTGATTACAGCGCAAGAGAAGATAGTAATTTACACTGAAGGGTCAAAGACGGATAAAGACATAGAAGTGGTAGATCCATAGATCCCTAGGAGTCTTTGCGGACCTAGGCATTACTAAAGCCTACCACTTCTGTGACTATAATCAATATTTAAGGTAAAAAATTTTTGCCATCCTAAGCACTACTTCTCTTGCTGCGTGCATGGACTGTCGTAAAAAAGAAGTCTATATTCTCATAAATAGACAGGCAGCTATTAAAGCTATATCAGTAGGCTGCATTTTGTCTTAATAACTTCTGATATGCATATGATCTCAAAAATAACTCTAGTTTAGATTCTCGCATATTACAAAATAGAAGGAGACGAGAACACAAGTGAGTTAGCCAGACTTGGTGCCTCTTATATGGAACCTGCGGTTTAAATTCCCAAATTTCAATCGGTTAAAATTGATTGATTCATTCATTTTAATAACATTGTTTTACAACAATTTTTTGAAATAATAAAATTAAATAGTAATTACTAATATTTATAAAAATAATGATAAACTTTATAAAGGAGTTTTTGTTTTCATATACTCTATACTATATCATTTATATCACATCATAATTTATTTATCTGATATAAATGTATCATATATTTTCTATAATAATAATTTTTTAGTGGTAAAAAATCAGGATTTGAGAAAGTAGAGCACAAAAGTCTCTATTGGAACTGAAAGATATATTTCAACACTATATTTTTAATTATAGTTGTCAAATTATGACTATGATTTTATTTTATTATTTAGCATTAGTATTTTGTCTTAAAGCTTCATTTAATCCTTTTTATACAACCAAAAATTATTCATATTTTTTCTGTTCATTCCCATAGACGTCTCGCAATTTGGTTTGGGTGCTGGTAATACTCATTGGGGCTACAGTTCCGCTTCAGCTTACTCACCTTACTTGGCTAGTAGTGGTCTGTCATCTTGCACAACTCCCACGTCAGCGCAATTCAACAATCCTGCTTTAGGTTTTTCGTGCTCCTCCAACGATCAAGCAAATAATCAAGACTTTAGTGGTGCTGCTAATCGGGATTGCGTACCAAGTAAGATCCCCAAACCCATACCATGATGTTAAAAACATACTATAATAACAAAATTATATATATTTTCATTACATTTATAGTGTTACCAGATTCAACTGCTACCGATTTAGATCAGCACTTGAGCAATTTAGTTGGCTCTACAACAGGTCAAATGACACATCACAGCTTACTCAGCACAACCGGTCAAAGTTCAATATCCTCCACTGTAAATGGCGGTCCCGGTTCTAATTCCATACTAGTACCACGTTACCACACAAATGCAAACAACGAATATAATGTGCACTCAAGTCAAAATGGACCACGCAGTTTAAGTGATTCCTCACAAGCTGAGTCACCTGTACAAGAAGATCTCCTCACAACAAATACACCAAACTTAGGTGGTGGTAATGGCAGTGGTGCTGGTAATGGTAACACCAACACTAACGGTAATGGTACAGCTGTTTCGGGTGGTAATAACACATTAGTTGGTGCAAATCAAAACTTTCCAGGCATTGTTAATCAGTCACAGAACTCAGCAGCTTATGGCAGTGGTACAGGTGGTGGCGTAGGTGTGGGTACAGGTCCTGCTGGTGCTACAGGTGCTGGTTGTAATGGTTCACTATACCCAGTCCTTCCAGCAAGTCTGCTTTATTCTCAACTTTACACAGCAGCAAACCAATCGCATGGTTTCCATTCGCATGCGTTACCATCGCATACTTCGCCGAATTCTTCAGTACATGGTGAGCTTCAAAGTGTTATGGATCACATTAGCAATGTGGGTGTACGCCAACAGCATAACATTATGGCTGGTGGTGGCGTTACGCATCCAGGTGATCTCACACTTATCGGTAATTGTGGTGCATCGGTGCGGAACATCGAAGATGGCAACACGAATAGACAAGTGGCAGCACTTGCTGCTCACCGTGGACACCACAATCCAACTGACAATGGCGGTAGCGTTTGGCGGCCATATTGAGGTCAGGTGTTGTGGTGTGGCTCAGCGGTACTATAGTGCTACGAGAACCCGGACAATAGTACCAATACAGAAGCAAAATATTGGTATGGCTGACCACCACCACAATGATTTCAAAAGTAGAATTAAGTTGAGTTTAAGAAGAAGAAGAAAGTGAGAGACAGTGTTGCATGTGAGCATGCGCTGTAAGCCAAAAATATGTGAAACTGCTGTTGTTTTGTAAATTATATTGTAAATAATTTTTTAATTCTTAAAAAATAAAAACTTGATTAAAATGTATATTAAATTACAAAAACCTATTTAAGCTAAAAACTAGTCGAATTTGTTTCCAAAGAAAAAGAAAAAATTAGTTAATTTCCTGCACATTTTCCTGCAAGTAACTCGATTTACACGGCGCAAGTCCTCGTGCCGAGCTTAAGTATTAAGTGTATACCGTACACAGAGCGTATATAAGTTCCTAAAGTTTATGTTTTCCGATTGTTTAGTTGCTAGACTCTTAAGCATTTGTAAATTGTTGTAAATTGATATTATTAATTAAAAAGTATATTTAATTAATATAATTATATATGTAATAAATGTGAAATTTGTTGTTTCTTAGATGTTTTTACTTATATTATTATATTATCATAATACATAGATATATCGATGTAAATTAATGTTATAATGAATTACATTTTAAATATGAAAACTAAAATTAAGTTAAAATAAAAATATCAATATTGATTGAAAATATATAACATGAATTTTTAAGGATACTCGTAAATATAAATCTAAATTTAAAATTAGTGAAATTTTATTTGTAAATACAATTCTTATAGCTCTAAATGTCATATAATGTCCAAGTGGGATATATGAGAAATTACTTCAGTCCAACATAAAGTCCGTTCTAAAGGACTTAGTCATTTATTGTCAAGAAACTCAAATAGCAAATATGTAATTAATTATGTATACCAGCAAAACTCTAAACCAAAGTTAAGTAAATTACTACCAAAAACTATTATAAACTGTTTAGCAATTATAGAAATTTCTCTATTACATATATATATATGAATATGATGTGAAAATAAAACAAATATTTAAAGAACTTATGATGTCTTCTTTTATTTAGAATCTATATCTTCTATATTTTTGATTTACTTCTATTAGGTAAGATGCTGAATTTGATGTGCGTCCTGACTTTTAAAAATTAACTGAATAATCATCTATTTCACCCGTATTCCATAGGACTTTTCCTGGGTATATCTGATGATTAATTACTGATTTTTAATATATGCAGAAATAAAATCCGGGTAGTTATACTTAACAACATCACAATTTTTCCAATAATCAACACACTTTTCCAATAATTCCGTTGTAAAGAACAAAGTTTCTAGTATAAGATTATTTACAAATTTTTTCTGGTCGAATAATACGAATAGCACATGACGGTATCAATATAACAATAACAACAATACAATATATATATAATATATCAGTGTTTAGAAGAAATTGAATTTAAATATCTCAGCTTTAAGGTCAACCTTTTTAAGTGGTTGAATAATACTCTCTTCAATGATTCCTGATAGATTTGTAAAAAAATTAAAGAGAGATTTGAAGAACAGAAGTTAATGTAAATAGATAGGGTTGATCATGCTATAGAGGAGCTTGAAATGATACAACTATAATTATTTTATTGTTTTTATTTGTTAGAAATTAACATAAATAGAAGAGTCTACATACATACATAGTATAATGTAAGTAAGTCCAAAGAGAAAGAGAATAATTCTGCTTATTAGTTCTGTTACTGTTCGGTATTTATCTAAATGTGTCTATTCTCCTGAGTTCTTACTTCCCCTATACTCCAATGATCAGTGCCATTAACACGACCTACTGGTTTTCAATTTTTAAAGGGTATTTGTACCCAAAATTTCTAGTGTTGCTCGGTGCCTCAAAACTTTTCACTTCATAAATCTGTGTTCACATCTATCTATCTATCTATTACATCTATCTTTCTACCTTGACTACCTTGTATACTGTATTCTACTCTCCAATACGTGGAAAGGACAAATAATCGAATAAATATACTTAAGAATAAGTTTCTTTAAACTTTTAATATATTTTATTATAGCTGAGTTATATCCTCTCCATGCGTTATATAGTCAGAATTTAATTTTCTATTTCATCCTACTTTTTATTCTTTTTGTTTATCTTTTCTCTCCTTTGCATAGGTAATTTCTAATTCCAAAAAAGTTTTTTTTAAATTTTGTATTATTCTACGTCTGTTTTAATATAAGTACATATATTTTATAGATAAGCAGTTCTTCCGAATTTTTATCGTTTATTTAAATTACCCCTGAATTACCCTGATTAATAAAAATTATTATTTATATTATTATTATTTTATTATTTATTATTATTATAGTAATAATTATAGAACCCGATCTATGAGTTGTATTGTGATATTTTTATAGATAGTTACTTAAGTTAAGCTGGACAAACTAAGATTAATGATAGACGAAATAATAGCTGTTAGTTTAAGACGTCACAACTCCATTGATTGAAAACAGCTGTTACAGAGAAGGAGCCTTATTGATAATCGGAAGACATAAAAACAGATGGACAATTATTTGACTCTAAACATTATATCAGCTTCCACATAACTACACATCATTAATTCAATATTAAGTATTAGAATGCTTTGTTAGATTAGTATTCCGCACTTTTTAAACTAATTAAAATAATCATTTTAATCCACATTTTTTTTAATCCACTGAACTATATTATTAAGAACTAGAAATAAATTCCGACATACTTAAATAATGATTGCCTTTTTTATAAAACAATAAAATAAAATTTATGATCCTTAAAGAATACCTTCAATTATGACCCACCATTGGCATTAGCGTTGCTTACGAATATCAAGTGTCATCTGTAGAACTATAAAATAAGTGGTCGTTAAGGATTCACTTCTGAGTTCGAACAAGACTCTTAGGAATTCAACATAAAAAAAACTGAAGAGCAAACACAAGTTAGCCTATCAACAGTTTAATCAACTTTTATGCCTAATGTGTAGTTTTTAACACCATTGCTGCGTCAAGGACTCTCACATAGAATGTCTCCAACCAAAATTTCATAATGTACATTGTCGAAACAATCTTAACATACGAGTGCGTTTCATCCACATACATTGGATGAGTTGAAAAAACTACATAGATTCTTGCTAACAATTCTCTAGTGGTTACCAAGTGTGCGTTTAGCTACTTTAACGGAAGACAAGTGTTTTTCTTCAAAAAGTTTTCCTCTCCACACCCTCACCAGTAATCCCGAAAATTAAAGGGTTCATTTGAGTGAAGCATGTGAAATTTTATAAGCAAAAGTAATGTGTAGAATTTTTAATTAGGCTTTTTATTGTTTCACTTGAGATTTGTTGAGCCTTTGTTCTTACCGTTGCTGCTGATATCGCAACTGGTAAGGCTACTCCTGCTTCCACTCTGGCTCCAGCTTAAGATGCAAAGCAGCCTTGAGATGTTCAGGAAGGAATATGAGAATTATGTGTAAGGATGAATCGTCGCGGTGTGAGTTATCTTTCCATTTGTAACTTGTTTTCTTAAAATTGCTCATTTGTAATGCGAAACATCTTCAGAATTTTATGGAAAAATGGATTAATTAAAATTTTAGAATGCCACAGTGTGAGTTACAAGAAGTAACAGGCAGTCTGTAATGTAGTCTGTGTATGTATTTTATTTATTACAGTTTTTATGTACATGAAACTAGCTACTTTATCAAAACTTCTCTAGAGTTGTGGAGAACATTTAAAACTTCAATTTTTATTGGTTCCTTTACATTTGTTTTATTTGACGGCGTATCCTTTGTGGTGATATGTGGGATATGTGCTCGTGCAATTTTTTAATTTAATTTGTTCAATTCATTGCGTTCTGTGACATTTTTGTATCCTTTTCAATGTCCTGTTTTAATTTTTACTTTCACATTTGGTCGCGTTCTCTAACCTTTAATTTTATGGCTGTCCCGGCGCAAATTCATTTCGTTTTGCCTCGTGATTCCGCACTATGGTTCCAACAAAATCGTCCTGTTCTGTGTCAGCTTAATTGGATACCGCAATGTAAAGTAAATTGAGCAGAAAATTAGTTCATTTTTGACCAAATTCTGTCAATGTTTGCTAGGGATCCAAATAGAATTTTAAATTTAAAGTCATATTGCAATAAAATGGCAAAATATTATTATTGATATGATATTATTATTAATATTATATTCTTCGAATTAAAGAAGTTATGAAGGAAGACCCAGAATTAAGAATACATAGAAGATTATATATCTAATATATCTAATATATATTATGTATCTAATAGTTATCTATCTATCTAGTTATGAATGCAAAGCCTGTACTTAAAAGTAGAATCAATTTAATTATCTATATCCTATGAAACAAACAAAAACAGAAAATTTATTGAAGTAGGGCAGTACTAACATCCGGATTTTTCGGTTTTGTTTGAAGATACGAGATCAGAATCTGTAATGATATCTAGAATTAGTTGAGCTCGCTATGCAGCATAACAAATTTCCCAATCGGAGTAAAATCAGATTTTAGTGTAAGTTCGAAAACTCATATAAAAAAAATAGGGTGTTCCTGACTTTCTCTGCTAAATGGCTTTGAAGCTTCAAATAGAAGTACAAGATTTGAAAAGATTTTAAGGCTTTTATCGAGTAAATTAATTACATTCTTAATATAAGAAGAAGTGTAGAACAAGTCATAAAATTGAAAATATGCGCCCAATAATCACCTATGTATGAAAACCCCTTACTTTAAAGCAGAGTGAAGTCAATTGACTATATGCTGCGGAGCGAAAGTTAACGTTAAACATTGCTTGCTTCTAAAAAGTAGATGTTGCTATTAAAGATCTTGCTGGCTTCTAAAAGTATACGTGACAGTACTGAATAAAAACAAATATTGAAATTCTGATTCCGTTAGAAGATAAAGAGTTGGAAACGGAAACCCTTATGAAGTCTCGGGCAATTAGTTGGGTTGTCAATTAGATACCTTAATGACTGATCACACTTATGTTGTACTTCGGTAATGTAGGCAGAAAAAGAACTGTGTGGAGATCTCGACCTATTCGACTGAATGGTATTAGAGATGATTTGAAAGTCTAAGATCCACCTGCAATGAACTGAGACGACTGGTGGAGTGTTGTAAGAAATGATGTACTCTTCTGTAACGATAATGAATAAGAATTGACTA